CCATTACTTCTGTCTCCACCAACTCCTGCTACTTTCATGTGCAATAACATTAACAAAAATTCGTCCTAACCAATTCTCATCATCCAAAAATATGTATTAAAAATCCTTCGACAACCTTCCATAATTTCCATTACTCCTGCTTCCACCAACTCCTACTATTCTCATGTGCAATAACATTAACGAAAATTCAATCCAACCAATTCTTATCATCCAAAACTATCCCTATCGTTACTTCATTACTTCAACATCACCCTGTTCCCGAACAATCCTTCATAATTTCCAATACTTCTGTCTCCACAATTTCCATCCTCGATACCTCTAAACGATGCCCACGAATCCGTCAAGCACCGTTATTCAAATATAACCGTCCATCGATATCGTTTATCAGATTTTCCGCCGGGGAAACGGATACGATCGACACGCGAGGGAAGCCGGCCGATAGAATTCATAAAAGATTCAACGTTAATTACCGAAGATGGCCCGGCTGGAAATCCGGTTTTTATATCTACAGGGAACACGCGATATTTCTGTGCTCGATCCAGCGCGAGAACTTTCCTCTCTTCCTCCTTCCTCGTCGTCCTCCGCAGAGAGCCCACCACCTTCGTTTCCGTCCGCGTCGCGGCGCCGGACGTCGATGGTAACAGGTTGCGACGGGCGGCGTTTCTCAAAAACTGCCAAAAAGTCGGGGCAACGAGGGTCGACAGGTGAAGGAACGCGGACGATGAGAAATTCCGTTGCCGGACGGGAGAGACGGGTCGGGCAACGATGCATTATTTAAATTTTAAAAGCGTTTCGGAGTGCTAGCTTAATTCGCCGTCTAGTTAGCCATCTCTCTCCTCATCCCCCCCTCTCCGCAACCAATTCAGTTAGTCGTGCGTGGACGACAAACAAAGCATCGAAATCGTATACAGAACATTTTACTTCCCTCGTTTGACAGACGAACGAGTATTAACCTCTTCACGGAGGATCTTTTTAAACTTGGAGAAACAGGATCTAACTTTTTATGTCGTATTTTATTCATTTTAAATTGATAGCAATTAAATTGTTTTTCTTTTGTTGGGAGGTTAGGTGATGAACAGTTCAGAATTCGTAAGTAATATATTTATAATTAATGATTCACTGTATTTTTTTATTTTTGCTAACATAAATATTGGAATTTTAAGAAAGAGTAAACGTACTTACTTATTTTGTGGCAGTGTCGTTTGAAGAGGTTAAGGTACGTTTCCACGTGGCTGCGAATCGCGACTTTCACGAATGGCTCTTGTCGTGAAATTTGGAAATTGCGTTGACATTGGATTTCGTGTCACGAAATCGAACAAGTTTGATTTTTATGTGACATCTGTAGTGCATCGTATACTACAAGTGGTGGAAACTGTATTGTCGAATTGTCGCGATCGTGTTTGTATTATTTGTAGTGTTTATAGGTGGAGGATAATAGAGGAAATAGCACGTTTTTATATGTATAACGAATTTTTTGAAGGATTATCAGAAACATCCATCTCTTTGGGATAAAGTCTATGTGCATTTTAAAGATGATGAGTAAAAAATAAAGCTGGAGAGAGAATGACACCGAACTACGTGGAAACGCGTTATGACGGTAAGATACGTGACTTTTAGTGTCACGTGACAATATGCGTTTATAATCGGGGATACAAAGACAGTAGCGTTTTGTATGTTCGTTATTGATAAACGAAGAATTGATTGCGAATTTTTGCGAAATTTATGCGAACTGACGAGTGATCGAATTTGATTGGTTCTAGATATTCGATCGTACGAGTAAAATTTTGGTTATGTGGTGTTAGTGGAAACTGTATACCATCAATGTGTCAAAAGTTGATTAATATGAAGGTTTCTTTGGAGGTGTGATCGAACGGCGAAGGTTAGAGGTTACTTTAAATTTTGTTTAAATGTTAATTCGTCTGATCGAAATGAATTGGAAATTAGATATTATTTTAGAAAGGGTTCATTCATATCTATGACTATTAGACAGTGATATTTTTATGGCTTTTTTGGGATGTAAAGCCACTGTCTCTTTAAATTTCTCGGCAATCCTGATAATCTGTCGCTCCCCAGAACCCGTGGAAATGTAATCCCTTGATAATACTCTGACTGACATATCCTGAAACACAAAGCTTCGCATCGCGATATATACTATCAAATTTCAAATCTTTGTAGTGTGGATTTTATCCAAATCCACGCGGATTATTACTTTCTAACTTCATACTTACGGTTATGAAAAAAGTAAACGAATAATCGGTAAAACAGACGATACCAATTACCGTAATTATTGTAAAAATAACATTTTAAAAATATTTCCAACCCTACAAAGAATAAAAAAACTTTAAAAAAAGCATAACCTAAAAAGGCAATTACAAAATTATTTTAAAATCTCTTTCATCCCATCTCGTACAGCATCCATCCCAATTTTAATTTCATCCAGGATCGAATTAGAAGGTGCACGATAAATTTCCGATACCGATCAAAAATATTGAAAATATTTTTTTTCTTCGCTATAAATCTATATATCGCGAGCTTTGGCTCGATGGCAGTCCATATTTATATAATCAAAGAGGTTGACAGATCGACGTTCGGTCGCGCCTCGTTCGCCTTGTGCCGATGAATATTTCAGTCACTCCTGGCTTCAGCTGTCAGTCCACGGGACAGGATGCGCGAGAAAGAGAGGAAAGGGTGGAAGCAGCGACAGGGGGAGGAGGTGAATCGCTTCTATGTATAGAGAGACGTATGGCCCGGCGAACTTTCGACCTGAAATGACCCGGGTTCGGATGCAGACACCTCCGCAAGCTTCCACCTTCCGCGATGGAAGCCTCCCCCTTATGGCCTGCAACCACCTAATGATCAGTTTTAATCCAGGATACCCGACGATTGTCTATGAATAACAGGAAATTACGTATTTACCTGCGTGCAGATCAACCAGCGTTCTCGTGTACACTCCAGATCAACGATGCCCTTACTTAATAACTCGAATCTCCATTGAAAAGGAGCACTGTGTTATTTTTTCCCCTGAAATTTCACGATTAAGGTGAGAGACCGGGTTATAGACCGGTTCGATAATTCGAAACAAATAGAAATTACAGAATCATGGTTACCCTCTAATGGCACGCGATACTCGAATTATAGGATGCTTTAGTATCGACTGATCGATGAGATAAATGCAGTCAGAAAGTTGTTTGTATCTGAAAACAGATTACTTTGAGATGTTGGTTAGGTGATCGTGATACTGATCTACTGAAACGTTTATATACGCACCAAATAAAAATAAAAACTGTAATAGGATATATAGACAATAGTGTATTTTGTGAAATAACCTCTTTCAACGTAGTCTAGCAATTAACTGTTTCTCGAAAGTAGCACTTTTTATCATTTGCGGAAATAAAATGTACACGTTAACCTAACTATATAGATTTAAACACGGATTAAACGAGAACTAATCTCGCGATTTCATGTGCAATATCATTAAGAGCTTATTTCATTATAAATTAAAAGGAATTCCACGGCTGATGCATTAGACAAATATCATCTTATCATTTCACCACTATATTTGTGTTGCGCGTTTCAAACTTACATCATTATTTGCATTAAGAGTTAGATCAATCTGTCAGATTCGATGTTCGCGTTAACAGGTCGCACGTGAAGTGCAGAAATTGATTTCGTGGGCTATCCATACGGCGAATTAAATGGAGGATAACTGCAAATGTCAACTCGCGTCGACTGCTTTTCGTGAATATTCATGCGGATCGCGGATGGATCGTTAAACCTGACAATTTAGCTTACAAAGTGGTTTTCTATAATACTCTTCGCGATTTTCAAAGGAAGTATACTGTCATATTATTGCCGATTATTTAATAATCCAATATTTCATTGCATGTTAAATGTATATAAATTTAACTTATATTTAATCCCCTTCAAGAATTGATTCGATAAAACAGGATATTTAAATCTATCTTTCTACCGATAAGGAATCGTTTTCTTATCGAAGCGTTTCGAGGCCATTTAATAAACATTGATAAAAGCATCTGCAAGGTAACGTCATACGGCTATTAGATTTTTAGGTCATTTTATAATTATTTGTTATTTCCTACTCGTTTAAATAAAAAATCAATTATTATTTTTTTATAGCGAACATTAATTTGTTATTATATAAATCTAAAAGTACGTTCCGTTCGAAATAACATTTATGAATAATGTATTGTGACAGATAAAAATAAAAAGGAGAACTAATTGTAGTAAATTTATTTAATCTAATTATCGTGTTTTTAATGTGTTTCAACTATAATTAAAAGTAAATAACGAAATAAATTAGAACGCGAGAAAACTTTTATACCGGCAAATCGTTGTTTCGACCGACGGCAGCTCGATAAAACGTATGCATACATACATATATAGGGTACCACATACTGTTGCATTCTACACACACCTGCAACGCCATTATTATCATCAAAAATATTACTGATTTTGCAATGTATACCGGTTCTTGACGCTCTGTATTATAAATATTTGATAAATATTTGTTGTTATATTTCACAAAAGTTAGAAATTTTGTAAACTGTTCAACAAAATTGACATTTTGTATCAGGAGGCTATGAGCTTCGAAGAGGTATTTTTATTTTGCACAAAACTGTTCCGTGAACGCGCGATTTTCGCTACCTTTCACTCATAGATTAAAATCGTATGCAGATTTCCGCATTCTCGGAGTTTCTTATTCTTCACGCTCTTATATCGTTCAATAGTTATAAATGACATTAAGTCGTTCTATTTCATATTTTAATTTTTTTACGAAATAAAAATGCAAGTGACTGAAAAGGTACGAACAATAAAAAACATAATGATAATTTAATTAATGATTTGAAATTAATATTGCAAATTTATAATTAAATGTGACTTATTAGTGATACACATGGTGCCAGTTTGACATTGGTCACGTGTATAAACATGTGTTCATGGTGCCCTAGGTAATTTACATGTAAAGCACAAAATTCAACATGAGTGTGGACAACAAATCGGATTTACAAAAGCTTTTTGTAGAATCATTGGCAAACGATAATATTTTTATGGTGGCAACGACTGTAGATACAGGTAGCTTAATATTTTGTGATTAATTGAAAACAAAAGCACATGCTAGTTTAGTGTAACCTATAAAACGATCTAATTTTAGGTTTCGAGTGGCAAGCAGTAGATGAATGCAAAGAAAAATTAGATAAAAATGTTAAAATTGTCAAAGAACGTGGAAAAATCTATTTTAATGTACATTGGAACCAATTTGCACTGGTACTACTATTATTAGAATATTTTCTATTGCATTTTTTAATATATAAATCTAGAAATACTTATATGGTTTTAAAATATTATATTGCATAAATTACATTAATAATATTATTCTATTTGAATTACAATTTTAGGTACAAGAGATGAGATCAATAGACAATGTGTTTATTGTCGCAGATGTTAGACAATTTGAGTTTACTGGGACTAATAAAGAAGCTCATTTGCAGTTATTTAAAGATGCTGTGCACAATGATATGAAAATGGAAAAATCTTTAAATGCTTGGAGACATATTACTGGTTTCCAAGGGAAAATATATCCAACTAATGAAGAATATAATTTGGCAGAAAAAGATTGCAAAGTCTCTAACACAATTGTTGAATCTTCAACAGTTAAAGGAAGGAAAAGAGGTCAAGATCCATCTGACACTAAGGAAGATGAAATTTTAAGATATAGAGTAACATGTGAAAGGACTGGCAAACACAATTTTGAATCATCTGATGTTGCCAGAGTTATTGGAGGAGAATTGCAAGATAAATACCTATGGCTTGTAGATTTATCTACATATTATTTAGAAGTACTTTGTAAATTAGTTAACAGTAAGTAAATTTCAAATATATATGCACTTGTTTCATTGTAAAAAATATATGTAATATTATAAATAGATGAACTGGTAACACACTTACGTGTTACACATGAATCTAAACACCGTAGAAATATCATGTGCTTTGGACCAACTACACTTAGAGCAACTGTGTGTTATAATTTGTTAAGATTAGCTCAGCCTAATCCAGGGGATATAATAATTGATCCAATGTGTGGTGGGGGTTCCATTCCAATAGAGGTAATAACCAGAATCTTTGCTTCTAGTTATATTTTTGAACAACATAAGTATATTATTGTGTTAAAAGGTATTGATATTGAAAATATTAGGCAGTTTCAGCTTATTCACATTCTTATGTTATTGCTGGAGACAATCATCCAAAAGCTGTACTTAGAACAAAGTCTAACATTGATGCATCTTTTGCTACATGTAAAATTGATTTATTACACTGGAGTGCATCACAATTACCACTTAAAGATTCATTAGTTGATATTGTTGTTACAGATATGGTAATTAAATGTTTCAATATATTTTTATTATATATTATCATATTCTTTTCACCAAATAATTTTTACAGCCATTCGGAAAAAGAAGTGGGCGAATGACAGATAATAGAATACTTTACAAACAATTCTTAACAGAATTAGGACGAGTTATGAAACCTATAAGAGGCCGAGCAGTATTACTCACTTACGATAGACGTAGCTTTAGTGTGGTACGCTATCGAAATTTTTGAATTAATCTTTTATGTAGAATTAAAACTCAAACGTTCCTTATTTTTAGGCTTTACAAACAGCTGGTGATCTATTTCGTGTAACAAAAACTTTAGGTGTTAATATAGGCGGCCTCCAAGCTGTAGTTTATGTCTTAAAAAGAACAGACACGCCTTACGAGCAATTCAAACCCAAAATTGGTAAGCACACAATATGCAAAAGTGAATAAACTATAGATCTGATCAATTTGTGATGAAACACTTCAACTACAAAGGGTGCCTTTTTCTTGACTTGTTCAAGTTTTCTGCGTCTTTCGCGTACTTTTCATTTTAAGAACCTGGTCGTATGATTTTCCACTACAAGGGCTAACTAGACTCCCTTGTTCTGTGGCGTTTTTCTCAAAATTTGATATGGTTTTATTTTTATTAAACGTTACAGTTTTTGGGATTTTACGCGTTTCTTCGTTTCTTGGTGCGAACAAACCAACTCTTGTCTGTATATCCGAAACCAAACATTTTTTCTTTATATTGTTGCAGAAAAGTTGACATTTTATTTTAAATAAACAGACCTAATATTGCGATTAAACCTATTTTATTACAAATTAATATTTTATAAGAGCTTAATAAAAGGACATTTTCATATTTCTCACAAAAACTTTATTGATTATTTGAACCAATAAAGCACATCTCTTAAAATTACCTATATTAAATAATAAACTTTATAAGAAGAACTTTCTTCTACTAGTTTCCATATCATGCCTTTTTCCTTGTATAAGCCATTCGTATTGTCCATATTTAGTATCAAATGTTCCATGTTGCAAGTATTTCAGTTTCAGAGTAAATCTGGGTCCTAACTCCCTCAACCTAGGTTTGCCCCTTTTAAAGTCAAATTGGTACCTGTAATTCCATTCATGTAATTATGTCCTTGTTGAAGTTCATGTTCAGATAAATATTGAATTATACCTATGATGTCTGAAGAATATGTAATCTCTTTGATTATGAAATGTTACAACTCTTCTGCCTCTAAATTCAGGTTCATAATGAAATAGTGCTCCTAACATTCTACCAATTGTGAAACCCAATCGAGTAGTGAAATTGTTTAGAATAACTTCTGGTCTATGCCTACTAATTTCTTTATGACTACGTTTCATTTCTGGTGTTAGTTTAACATTACTAAGTTTAAAATATGCTGTTGGTCCATCAGGTAAATGAATAACTAACATACCATCTGACAAATTTTGTAAGGAAAATAACAAATTAAGTAGTAACAAATTCTTCTAACTAAGAAACAATATTCTATTATCACAAATGTGCATAAAGGATACTAGGTTTGCACTGATCTTCATTGATAACAATGATGTCAGTGAAATTTTTATCAATGGCACTCTTCACCATTTTCTTTACTCCAGAACGATTTCTGTATAGAGAAATAGAATTTGGTATCATTCTTGATAATTCTACACCAAAAATCCTACTCTTCTTTGTTGGATTGTCAGAGTAGGTAATTAAAACTTTAGGTTCATAGGCATGTTTAAAATAAGGTGCAAATTCATCATGTTCCAAATCAACTTTAAGCTCTTGATTTTCCTCATCATCAAGGTCACCAGTAATCATAGTTTCATCTTTTTCTCTTAAGCTCTCAATGGTGTGTGGAACTTGCTTTGGACCACCTTCTTGAATTCTTTGTTTCCTGGCTTGCTTTTTAGCCTTTGCCTTTTCTTTCATTAATTTGTGACATTTTAAATGCCGCACAGCTTTGCATTTTATGTGATTAAAGTTAGAGTTAGATGGCAAAATAACCTCTGATGTTTTCTCATTCGAAGTATTTTGTTGTTCTTCTTCTTCTTTGTTTCCCCTTTTAACCCGACCTAGGGGATTTACTCTTAAATTTTTAAGTTTCATTTTGATGTACTTTAAGTTCAATTAATATATAGAATTATTTTTCAACAACATCTGCAACTAACTATTTTCCACGTGAATCTTCAGTTATCGGGTTGTACTAGGTTACTTATACAGTGGCATTCAATGCCGCCAACCTTGAAACGTAACTACGAAAACCCCGAAG